GAGTGTTCTTCCTATGCTGAGAATCCACTTGGTAGTGTATCCCAGACTGTAACTATCGTAAAAGCCACCAAAAAATGGGAACTACCCAGCACTAATACCCACAACAAGAGGAACAGAATAATCATATCTAAGGTTGGAATATTTATGTACTGGAATGGGAGAGGGTACAGTGGGTGGGGGAGGGTATGGTGAGTGGGGGAGGGTACAGTGGGTGGGGAAGGGTACAGTGAGTAAGCGAGGGTACAGTGGGTGGGGGAGGTTACGGTGGGTGGGGGAGGGTACAGTGGGTAGGGGAGGGTACGGTGGATGGAAGAGGGTACAGTGGGTGGGTGAGGGTATGGTGGGTGGGGGACGGTACAGTGTGTGGGGGGAGGGTATGGTGGGTGGCAGAGGTTCAACCTTTAACCTGTGGAGGCAGAAGCAGGAGACTTGGGATGGGGCTGCTAGCCGACAGCTTATCTCCACGCTCCTGGAAAGACTCAGTCTTAAGAGAGTGAAGCAGGGAGTGGCGGAGCCGGACACCAGATACCCTCTTCCAGCTTACACGCCCTAAGCATCCATGAACATGAACACACACGCATACACACATGTTCCCCCCCACACACACACACAAATTTATTTACTTATTTGATTCATTTATTATTTGATGCTGGGGATTGAACTCAGAAACTCTCACAAGCGAAGCACAAGCTTTACCACTGATCCAAACCTTCAGTCTTTTTTACCAAGGGATGTAAAAGGTTTGAACAAAGGAAAGCCATCGTGGTGCGCTGCGAAATCAAAGACAAATGAAGGGACCCTAACCAGCCCAGGTCTGGCAAGCACAGCTCTGGCAGGCCTTGCCCATCTCTCTGATTCTCTCTACCTTGCTAAAAACTGTTAGATTACATTCCTAAAGCTAGACCCCAGGGTCTGTTCTCATATTTGGCCACTTCCTTCTCCCGAGGCTGACTACTAAGGTCCAGAAATCAAAGTATTGAAGCCCACCAACCAAGAGCCCCCTTTGGATTGCCGAATTAACATGCCCAATTAAAATCAGACACCTCATCCTAACACAGGTTTTTACCTTTATAAACTGCCATTTTCCCATGTGCCACATCTGTCTCCTCTCTATCCAGGGGAGTCCTTTGTTCTCTCAGACAAATATCTCTGCCCACTTTCCCTTGTTCCCTTCCCCTGCTCCCTCCTCCCCTATCTCCTGTCTGTGTCTCTTAGCCCTGCCCTCTGTCCCTCTGGGGCAAATAAATCTCCTTTGTGCTGAGAACTTGGCCTTGGGGGTCCTGAGATGATGCTTTTCCTTTCAACAATAATGTGAAGTTATCATTTCAAATTCAACCAGATCTCTTGCAAGTAAGTCCCAATGTACATTTTGTTTGGAAAAGTGACCATGCACAGATTAGGCCGGATGTGAGCTGGGGTCGATGTCAGAAGACTCATGGGGCACTCTCTAGAGATTAAACATGATTTCCCCTGGCACCAGGTGGGAGTCATTAATGGAGAGCTGAACGTGATAGCTCACACCTGCAATCAGCACTCAGGCAGCTGAAGCAGGAGGATCACTGTCAGTTCAGGGATAATCTGGCCTGCAGAGTAAGACCCTGTTTGAAAAAGAAGCAAAACAAAATAAATCGCCTGGCATGGTGGCATGGTGGTACATGCCTGCAATCCTAACACCCAGGAGGCGGAGGCAGGAGAATCACACTGGTTTCAGGTTAACCTGGTCTACAGAGTGAGTTCTGGAGCAGCCTGGGCTACTGGTGTGTGTGACTGTACTCAGGAGGGATGAACAGCGAGCATCTACCTGCTCCAGATAGGGAACTGATGACTGACCAGAGCGAGGATACCACAGAAGTCCAAACTGGTGGTCCCAGGAGTTTTCCTAGGGTTATTTACAGAAGCAGAATGACTCAGAGACAGCTGCATCACCAAAGCCCACCCCAGCATGGGTGACAGCTCACAAAGCTGGGGACCTGGAGGGTAGGGCACAGCCTGTGGGCAGCTTTACAGGTTGTGGTGCAGCTGGTCTGAGTGTCTTCCAGTGTCCTTTCTGCTTTCACATGCTTGAGAGGGAGGGGCTCACTGAATCTGGTCAGTTTTGGGAACTTCCTGAAGCCTTTGTAAACTTCCCTGCAGGATGGGATGTTTCACCTCACTTTAGCCTACTGTCCTCTCTCCCACTTAACATTGTGGGCCTTAACGACTTTCCTCCAAGACGGAAGGTTTTCCTTTCAGAAGAAACCACTGAACAGCAGCCACAAATGAGACCCCACCTCCAAGAAGACAAAACAAGAAATTAGAACAAAAATTAAAAAGCTGGAGATGATTTGAAGGATAGATAATGAACCAAATTATTCTTCCTACCTAAACCAGTAAAAAGATAATTGACCTAGTTTATATGAGCAAAGTTTATCAATAATTAAGTTAGCAACATTGAAATTACCAATCAATGTTTGAAAAAAGTATATTCTTCTTCGTAATAAAAAGTAAACAAAAACAAAAAGCTAAGCAAAAGTACAGGTAAAGTAAATATAATAGCTTTTTCACTTAGAAGAAGGACCATTTAGCCAGCTGGTGGTGTCGCACACCTTTAATCCCAGCACTCAGGAGGCAGAGGTAGATGGATCCCTGTGAGTTCAAGGCCAGCCTGGTCTATAAAAGTGAGTTCCAGGATAATCAGGGCTGTTACACAGAGGACCTTGTCTTCAAAGAAAAAAAAAAGGAACCTTTAACAATGGGCCTGAAAGCACCCAAAATTCCTTTTTTTCCTAAAAATTCCTCTTGTAGAGACATATACAAAGGGAATTAGAAGTGTTCATAAAAGTTAAAAATTAGAAGTAGCCTAAAGAGTTAGTTATAATATATGTTATAAGAAGTTATAAATATTGGTTAGAGATGGATATTATTGTTGTTTTACGAATCTTTTTCTAGTCGTCTTTCCTTCTTCCCTCCTCCCTCCTTCATTTCTTTCTTTAGTACTGGGGATTGAATTTAAAGCTTCAGCATATGCAAACACCCTACTATTGTACTGAATTCTTAAGTCTCATTTTAAAAATTTATTTAATGGGTTAATAGGTCTCTGTGTAGCTACTCAAAAGGAAGGTGGAGATGGGAAAAATGGGGGAGATTTTACTCTGTGGGTTGCGGTGCTGGGATTGAGCTGTAAGTGTGCTAGGAAGAGCCATACCCCAAAACAATGTGCATATCAAGATCCTATTTTTGATCAAAGAATAAAATATCTTTAGAATAGAAAAATGTTCGGGAGCATACACGCTGCAGTACCAGCTATAGTGAAGGTTCTGGTGTTTTTATTCTGTTTTGGGAGTTAGGATTGCTGGAGATAGAACCTAGGACTTGCCTCTGGTAGCCAAGCATTCTACCACTGTCTGGATACATCCCCAACCCTGTGTTTTCCAATTAAAAAAAACGAACATGGACTGGTTTTACAATAATTTTGAAAACCATTTCTGTTAAAACCATTGGGCAGAGCTCAGTGTTACAGGTAAGAGGGTCTTGCTAGATAAGGTCATAAAAAGGAGAACATAGTCTGGGGACTTCTGATCCACAGAGATGGCCTTCTTCCCTGAGCAATGCTGTCTTCTTACCACCCTGTTTCCAAGAAATGGAACCTTCACTCACTTCCTTTGAGGTTTTCAGAATGATGTGATTAAAGGTTTGTTAGTACCTAACTCTTGGAGAATATTACTCCTTTAGTGTGTAGGGGATGTTGGTGATCAAAGCCAAGTTATAGACTTGAGAGTCCGCATGCGTTCTGGCACTGAGTTATACCCCAGAGGAGAGGAATTCCATTCATTGTCCACATTTAATAAGTTTTGTTCTAGAGATCATTCTTTTGTTTATTCTCCTGCATCAGTGTATCGGATACAGTTCTGCCCCCTTCTCCCATGCTTCCCTTGTTCCCACAATTAACACACACACACACACACACACACACACAGAGAGAGAGAGAGAGAGAGAGAGAGAGAGAGAGAGAGAGAGAGCTGTGTCTCTCTCCCCTGTCAAGGACACATCTATCTATTGACTGATCTATCATCTATTGTGGTTGTTTTGTTTGTTTTTCCGAGACAGTTCCCACTGTTTCCCAGGCTGTAATTGGTGACTACAGGTGTAAACCCTAGCTAATACACAATGTTTTGCTGTACCTCCGTAGACCGAGTTGGAAGACTGCAGTAGACTGCATACACCTGACAGCCAAGGAGAGCAAGCACAACTGCCCACTGTGGTCATTCATACTTTTCCTTGGAAGTAGAGTTGGCCAACCTAGAGATGCACTGGAATGTAGTAGAGAGGACACCAAACCCAGAGGAGAAGCAGGAAGCAAGAAGTGGGGCTCTGCCTGCTCTCCAGGATAATCAAGTGGCTTCCTGCCATACTGGGGAAAAGCTGTGAAGTCAGATATTGGACAAAGATAGCCAAACTAGAAACCAACAAACCAAAGAAGCATAAGTTAGCCAACAGCATGGTTATGTTCAATGACCAGGTTCATAGCTTACAACCATTCACACCCCAAGAGACCTATGATGGATTTCTGCATGGTGCAGAGAGCATGCACCAGCCCCTCTGCGGGCTTGAACAAGACACAGTGTTGAATACAAGCCAGGACCACAAACTCTGAAGGGAAACAGCACATGTGTGTTTTATTTGTTTGTCTGTTTGTTTGTTTTTGAAAAGACATTTGGCATCTATTCATAGGGAATGGGATTAGATTTAATTAAACGAGAGAACCCCCAACTCCATCTGGTTCCCCCATCACTGGGGAAGGATTTGGGAGAGCTAGGGTTTGTCTATTGGTGCACAAGAATTTCTCCTTTAAGAATCAAATATAAAATTCAAACTGCCCCTTATTTGGGAAGTTGTAAGGTGAAAAGTGCTGGCTTTCTGATCGTTTAGACTCCTGAGTCACCTCTGCGATAGAGGGATCGCCTTTCCCTGGCTTCTTGGAGATGTGCTATTGTTCTGTTCTGTGTTTCTCTCTCTTCCAGCGACAGTGAGTCCTAATCTGAGCTGTGTTGGTGTTCTCCAAGAGCACGCTCCCTGAGGGCACCTGCTGTGCCTGCCTCGGGAAGATGAAGAGGAGACAAGTTCCATTCGTTTCAAATCAGCGTAGACACAAGACCGTTTTACTGTTTCTTCCACCACCCCCTCTTCGGACGATGACATCCCATGGACTAGTCCTAGGAAAGGCCTGGCTGCCCATCAGAGGAACTCAGGGTGCAGAAGGAGCTCTTCTGGTCAGTGGGCGTCCTCTCCTCACTCACTCTGATCACCTTTAAGTCGCCATCACTGGTCTGCTTCACTCCTGAGGATTCGAATAAGGAAGCTGGTCTTCTTCCGGGTCACCTCACTACCTCCCGGCTTTGGATGACACTGTCTCGTTATTAATGTCCTCTGACAGGTCAACTCTCGTCTTCTGGGACTTTCCTCACGTCATACCACGTCACAGCGAAGACACCAAACAAAGCAAGTGTTTCATATCCACACCATCCCAGGGGGCTGTTGGGCTTGTTTCTCACCTGCTAAGGACATAAAGCAAGGAAGGGCACAGCCCCCATGGGAGATCCCTGAGTGGCTCGTAGACTTGCACCCAGCCACATCTCAGTCACCTTTGAAAACGGTGGAGAAGAAATAGCCGTCGTTAAAGAGAGAAACAACCTTTTTCCTCTCCACCAAGATCACCTTGCAACATCTCAAAGCTGTTGTTTTGATCTTGTCTCATCCCACGGGCCTGTCCTGTACGGGCACGCGGCATGGAATGCATGCAGGCTGAGATCATCGTGGAGATTCTCAAGGGTGAACAAGATAGATCTGTACCTGTGGTAGCTGTGGCTCGCCGTGCTCTGCAGTCTCTCCTGCACCCTACGGCCCTTCCTGTCGGGCTGCGAAGAGTCCCCAGCCCTCAACACAACACTCCGGGAGGTGGCTATCGGGCCGTCACAGAAGGCGTTCTGCTCGAGATTCCTGGACATCCATGTGCTAAAAACTGTGTCACGAAATGCAGAAGGGCCCACTAATATCTTCTCCTCCATCAAGCCCGCCTCATTTAAATCCTTAGCTTTCTAGCTCTGACCTTTGAAAGGCCATCTAGCAAATTGAGTCCTTAGCTCTCCTGGGATGCTTGGTATTTTGTTCCAGGAAAGAAACAAAGAATGAGAATTTTATTCTGCTAGCCACATATAAACCGAAGGGAGATGAAGCTAACTGAACTTTTTGCTGCTGAATTTGGAGTCTGTGTTTGAAAGGCTACCTTCATGCTCCACAGAGTGCCTTCTGCCTCCTTGAGGCCCCTTCATCGAGCTCTTGCCTTCTGAGTTATACAGATAATTTTATAGGCAGAACTGCAGGCTAGGGTGGTCTCTCTAGACAGTGAAAGACAAGTCTGGTTGCGTCGGATCCCGGCTCTCCCACTGTCCTGGGACTTAGCAGTGCTCTGACAAAGGACAGTGTTCAACAGTGCATCCTCAACAGATTGGTCTGTCACACCCTCAGTGTTCTGACATGGCTCTGTCCCTGCCCTTGGACATTCACAATCAATTTGTAACCTGCTCTGATCCTCAGACATTCCGCCAGCAAATGCTGCCTTCTGAGTTATCTTTGCTTGTATTGTCTTCTGCTTATGACCGTTCCTTGAAATTTGCTTGTCTTTCTCTGAAAAGTCTGGTTCCCTCTTTCTCGGGCTGTCCAAGATCCTCGCTGACTACCCAAGCCTTTGGCCTGTTCAATATCAAACTTTGGAAGTCCTCAGAAGGGTCCGAGGTCTTGGACTGTTACTCTGGATAAAGCAAGGTTTTGTGAGATGATAATGAAATTCTCATCCAATCTACTAAAGAACCTCAAACTCCCAAAGAAACCAATTGACCTGCAAGACGTTGGGTTTACATCTGAGAACTGTGCTGGCTTCTCTAGATGCACAGTGCCATAGGAACTTTCTACAAAGCTAGTTTGCTCTGGCAAGACTCATGATGTTAGCATGGGTCAAGTGGTCAAGTAAACCCTAGGATCTTGAATCTTTTTATTATTAGAGAATCAGAGCACAGCATATGTATATGACAATTCCAAGAATTCTTTTTTTAAAAACTTAATTACCTATGTATACAACTGTTCCATTTGCTTGTGTGCCCACATGACAGAAGAGGGCATCAGATCTCACTATGGATGATTGTGGGCCACTACATGGTTGTTGGAACTTGAACTCAGGACTTCGGGAAGGATAGCCAGTGCCCTTACCCACTCTTTCCAGCCCTCCAAGAATTCTTAAAACAAAATATTTATCTTTTACATTATTAATAGAAAAAAAAGTCTCATCAGTTTGTCCAAGCTGGATAGCCAATCAGAACAAATCAGATTTTAAAATAAAGATGGGCAGGGAATATATCCCAGTTGGGGGTTGTTTTCCTCACCCACACAGAGCCCTGGGTTCAGGTCTTAGCATAAACTCAGTGTGGCTGCAGGAAGGTCATTCCCACAAGTTCAAGGTCATTCTCCACCATAGAGGGAGTTTGTGGTCAGCTTGGACTGTGTAAGATCTTACTCAAAAAAAAAAAAACAAACCCCAAAAACCAAAAACAAAGAACCATTTTAAAGACACATGCTTTGGGGTGTGTGTGTGTGTGTGTGTGTGTGTGTGTGTGTGTGTGTGTTTTAAAAGCAAAGTAGGTTGATAACATTGCCTGGGAGAATTTCTTTGGAAACTTGTTTCAATAAATACGTAAAAATTTCCATTTGTGACTCTTTTTTTTTAAAAAAATAAGTGTATTGAATTTGTTCTTTGACAGGTTCCTATATAAAGAAGTGCATCTGATTACTGTGACCTTCACCCTCTCTAATCCTCCCCCCATCACTCTCCCCAAGTCTCCTGCCCACACATGCTGTTTTATTTGTTTTGAGATACCTTGAGTTTAACCAGGATTGTCTGTGGGACCCAGGGTTTGGAACAAGTGGGTTCTTAAGTGGGCATATAATTAAAAACAATGACTGTCCCCAAGGATTCCTAGGTAGTCAATAGTTCTTCAGTCTCTGATTGCCTGTTAATTGGCTGTCTTGTGTAGGCAGTCATAGGCACCGTGAGGTCATGGCTGTACTGCTGTGCCAAGTCAAAAAAGATAGGATTTCACAACCCTCTCCCCGCCTTCTGTCTCTTACAATTTTTCTGCCCCCTCTCCCCCAAGAATTCTTTCCTCTACAGGAAAAGGGGGCGGTGTCTGACCTGGAGTATCTGCAAAAACAAATGTTACTCCCTTAATCAGAGAGGCTTCACTCAGCAGTGGCTGGCACTGAATGCAGAGACCCACAGCTGCTCACGGTGCTGAGAATAAGTGGCCGTTGAGTGATCCACCCTAACCAGGCCATCTGCAGCTCTCAGTGCCGGGACTCCTCTCTAGGATGGGCATTACTACCCACATGCATGGACATAGTCCGGATCAACCTTGGCCTCCACGGGTGGCATGTACTTTCGTTGACTTACAGAGCTCTGGCAGTGGGAATAATACCAATACAGCTGGGAAAGTTAAACAAAAAACTTTCAATGTGATCTTGCAATTGGGTTATAAAAAACAACCATTGGCACCAACTCTGGAAAAAGGCCTTATGTTGAGTAAACAAATTGTGGGTGCTAGTTTCGTCTTCTGTCAGAATAAGTGCAAACTCTAAGCCTTGTGGTGATAAGACACAGTTTCCCACTGGGAAGACAATGCTGAAGTCATGTTGTGGGGAAAACATTGACATTTTATACTGAATTCAATTAGCACACATGACTTTTCACATTCTGAAGACACTCAGGGAACATGCTGGGGTTTTCTTTTAATAGCTACAATAAGCAGCTAGGAGCAGCTCCCCTGACAGCACTCTGTTACAACCACAATGGTCAGAGGAACGCCCGTAGCCTACTGAGGACCGGCATCAGTGTAACCTGCCGGCAGCTGCAAAACCCAGACAATCAGCTGCCCGAGCCGTTGGTCTTTTCAGGTTCCCCTTGACGTTGCTATGGCTCTGTATTGTCTGATGCTGAAATCTGACTTCCCTCCTCTTGAGACGTACTGCTTCTAGGTTCCTGGAGTTTCATTTCAGGATGCTGTTAATGCTGTTACCTTTTCTCAACAACATGCCATTCTTGGGAGGTAGTAATCAATATAACTGGACAAAACCATGACCCCTGTGCATGCTCTAAACTCTGAAGTATGTTGAGAAATTAAACACCTAAACCAAAGTGCTTGATATTGTCTGAGATCAGAAGGATGATTTAGAACTGTTGAACACAGCCGAAGGTGGAGTGTGTTTGTTTCTTTATGATTGAACTTGGATTGGTGAGCAGATGCAGGCAAGCTCGCCCTGCTCAGCCCATCCATCTCAATGTTTTCCTCGACCTTCAGTTCTCTGTAAGTGGATACATGAACGCCACCAGCACACATTCTTCTGTTTCCCTTTCTGGGTTTGCATGTGAAGAATGGGCGACGTGCAGCTACCACGAAATAAGCATCTGTTTCAGTGGAAAGTAATCATTGTGTTATTCTCAGATGAAATCGCTGAAATTATAAAACAGTATCAGAAGCCTGAAGGGTGCATGATTAAAAGGCCGGCTTTTGAAATCACCGGGATTGTAGTCATTCAATAATAATAATAATAATAATAATAATAGTAACAATGCAGTGCATCAGTGGTAATTTAACCCATCAGTGCATATCCGCGTACATCTCGGACTTAAGGTTCACTAAAAAGGGCTGTGTTCAGCTCCTTTATTTTACAAGCAGCTAGACCGGTTCTTTAGGAGGTCAGTTAGGTCAGATGGCCGTGAGTTAGAGAAGAGCCTCACCTGCCTCTGTCCTAGCAATGCACATATTCTAGGCTGCGGCCCCTTACATAAGATCTGTCCAGTGCCGGTGAGGTGGCTGGGAGGAGGGTCAAGGCCCTTGACACCAGCTCTGACAATCTGAGTTCAGTTCCTGGGACCCACATGTGGGACAAGGTTCAGAACTGAGTCCTGAAAGAAGTTGTTCTCTGACTTCCACATGTGTACCGTGGAGCTTGCACACACATACATGCACACACACACACACACACACACACACACACATTCGCATGTAAATAAGAAAGGCTTTTGTTTAAAGGATTGCCCACTTGGAGACATGGGTCAGTGACAAATCCTGGCGTGAGCAAAGCCAGAGGATCCATCCCAGCACTGCCGGAAAACGACAGCAAGGACAGAAAAATTGCCCCATGGCTACTGGTTAGAACTGATTCTTAAATTCATCAAAGTTTTAAGATGAATTGAAATTAGGTCTTCTCTTGTCTTACATGTCAGAATAATGCATAGTAACTCTTTTCGTGATTGAGGCTTTATCAGTGTCTGGTATACACGTGTGTGTGTGTGTGTGTGTGTGTGTGTGTGTGTAGGAATTATTCTCTTCTCACATTCATTTTTAAAACTTTATTTTTTAGTTGATTTTGATTTTATGCGTATGAGGGTCTTGCCGACACGTTTGTCTGTGCATCAAGAGTGAGGTGACCATAGACACCAGAAGTGGGCATGAGGTCCTCTGACACCAGAATCACAGACAGAGTTGAAAGCTCCCATGTTGGTTCTGGGAATCAAGCCTGGGTCCTCTTGAAAGGCACCCAGCATTCTTAAGCCCTGAGCCATCTCTCCAGCCACCTTCAGGGGCATTTAATGTTTTTTTTATTTAAAGTAAATAAGAGCACATGGATTTGTATGCTAAGTTGCTCACTCAGCAGTGATAGGTTGAAAAGGATTTCTAAATTAATTTAAACATGAAGAACTATGAAATAGGAGAGGGTTGCTTGTCATGGTTTTGCTTCCACGCCTGCTGATGGGTATCAACATACGGGCTAACACCGTGTTTACAAAATGTGCTGCTTACAAGAGGTAAAGGGCTCATTGTGCATCTTGCTAAGGAAAATTCATATGATCCTGCGCTGTAAATGAAACGATTACCCTCAGGATCGCACTGCTTTGATCCACGCACCTCTTTAATAAATGAGACAATCCCAGTCCCAAGCATTCTTTCAGAACCGAAACTGCTTTATCCAAAGTCATCTAGCTCCCAAACTCGGTTTTCTACATCTCTGTAAGATAATATTATTCTTGTCTTTATTCTTCCTTTCCGAACATCTTTGTATGAAAGAATGAACTCTGTGTATGGAAATGTAATTTAAATTATTTTTAGTAAAAATGAAAAGAATACTAGAGATCAAACCTCTCTCTTTCTTAATGATTAACTCTTCTTCATGGCTTTGTCCCAACTCCGCCTTCCACACCTTGATGTCGTAACTGAGCGTGACTGAATTGACAGACTCATAAGGCGTAGATGAGATGAAGACACGTTGAATGGGACATGTACACAAAGAACAGTCAGAGCGTTGACAGTGAGCAGGAAGAGTCCTCCCAAAACTCAATCAGCCATGCAGTTCATCCCAGCAGACCCTAGAACCTGCAGTGTGTTTCCTCCCTATCTTCATCAGACTCACACAACAATGTAACTCATCAGCCTGGATGCAACAGTGTAACTCATCAGCCTGGATTCAACAATGTAACACATCAACCTGGATGCCTGGATCCAACAGCAGACAGCTCCACAGTAAAGAGCAAGGACCAGGACAGAGTCATGGTCTTGACAAAATTTTATTTTGTTACAAAGTAAGCCCAGTCTATAATACTAGAGACAAATCAAATTGTTTCCCAGGGCTGGAACGATGCTACACAGTTAAGGCTGCTTGTCCGTCTTGCAGAAGACCTGGGTTCTGTTTACAGTGCCTATATTGGTTGAGCCCCAACTGCCTATAATTCCAGTTCCAGGGGATCTGACGACTTCTTCTGACCTCTGCAGGCACTGCATGTATGTGGTGCACATACATATATTCAGATATATATACATAAATAAACTCTTTTTTGTTTAGAATATTTTTAATTGTTTTTATTGAGCTGTATATTTTTCTCTCATCCCCTTCCTTTCTCTCCCCTCCTCTTCTGCCCTCTCCCATGGTCCCCATGCTCCCAACTTACTCAGGAGATCTTGTTTCTCTCTACTTCCCATGTAGATTGGATCCATGTATGTCTTTCTTAGGGTGCTCTTTGTTGTCTAGGTTCTCTGGGATTGTGAATTGTAGGCTGGTTTTCTTTGCTTTATGTTTAAAAGCCACTTTTGAGTGAATACATGTAATATTTTTCTTTCTGGGTCTGGGTTACCTCACTCAATATGATGTTTTCTAGATCCATCCATTTGCCCACAAATTTCAAGCTGTCATTATTTTATTCTGCTGTGTAGTACTTCATTGTGTAAATGGAGTACTACACAGCATTTTCCTTATCCATTCTTTGGTCAAGGGGCATTTAGGCTGTTTCCAGGTTCTGGCTATGACAAACAAAGCTGCTGTGAACATAGCTGGGCACATGTTCTTGTGGCACGATGGAACATCCTTTGGATGTATACCCAAAAGTGGTATTGCTTGGTCTTGAGGAAAGTTGTTTCCTAATTTTCTGAGAAATTGCCACACTGATATCCAAAGTGACTGTACCAGCTTTCATTCCTACCAGCAATGCAGGAGTGTTCCCTTTACCCAACATCTTCTACAGCATAAATTATCATCAGACCTAAACAGAGAACTCTCAACAGAGGAATCTAAAATAACTGAAAGACATTTAAAATGCTCAACATCCTTAACCATCAGAGAAATGCAAATCAAAACAACTCTGAGATTCCATCTTA